ACGCTATGAGTAATTACATTTATTTTTAATTATAAATGAAGAATCACTTCCACAATGAACAAGCAGCCAACTAGTTGGAAAAATCGATGATTTTTCTCATTATTAATCATCTAAAATACAGAAAACTACAATGAGCGAGTATTTTGGAACAAAAAATGCCACAACTTCCTCTCCTGTGATTAATATGAACGATAACAGAATGTCCTAAGACTAGAAAACACAGTGGATTGTTCAAGCAATGTATTTATTGCGGTTTTGAGACTATCGGTGAATTAAAATATTGAATGATACGAAGAAAGGTCTCAGTACAAGAAGAGGAAGAAATCTGATAGTCATTTGTTTCTAAATACATATCATAACCAATATATTTTATATTTTTACAATAAGAACAACCCTTTTTTTTAAACCAGGCACTTATTCCTTATAAATTTGATTCCGTTATTATATTCCTTATTGATGAGATAAAACAAAAATTGTTAAATTATGTTTGTATTGAAATTCTATTACAATAATAAATTTAATAGTTATGCTGCCATTTACCAGGCTACTATGTCTCACTTAGACAAGATTAGATGAAACCTAAAGTAGCCATTTCGGGAGTACCCCGAGCGCCTTAGTATTTAGTAATTCCGACCAGAGATTTCAAACCTGTACGCACAGCGTAGAAGGATGAATAATGCCTGCAAAAGGATCGTGCTGACATGTTCAATAAAATTGTGTCCTAAATATCAAAAAGGTACCGAAAGTAGTCCAATAATGATAAAAAACACAAATTGAATTTGCGGTCAATTTGTTGAAGAATTCAAGAAAAATCACCTTGCGATTTACTCGGAATTATTACTTGACAAACTTATTTAGAGATTTTTTTGATGCAATACGTATACAACAATAGTTTTTCGATTTCATAAAATTCTTATAGCTAATCAGTGAAGTAGCAAGCGCTCGAAGCAGAATGTTAGTGCCTATGGAAAAAGGTACTAAAGCGGTAAATATTAAACGCCATCTGCCGCCCCTAAGTACCAACACCCGGGGCATACTTCCCAGTCCCGCCGCTGAAGCTAATAATTCAAACAACCTATGTACCGGTACGGAACTGCCAGGGCACGAATCCTATTCGCAGTGTCCGCTTTTGTTTATTTATTTTATTTTATTTTAGCTGCAAAATGACAACTAATATCATTGTTTTGCTAAAATACCATGCTATACCTAACGTAATATCGTAGCATAAATAATTAAGTTACGGTCACAGAGAATTAAATTTAAACAATACTCTAATTAATCCAAAGAAAGGTGGAATACTACACGTAGTCGACCATGATGTTACGTACCAAGCTCTGCATCACTCTAATAAGTAGCAGTCATATTTTTTTTCTACTTGCAGACTTTTAGTTTCAACCATCTCGTTAAAAATCCGCCTATCAAGAATTAAAATTTTATTGGTTTAGTGTTTAAATAACTTTTAGCGAGACAGGGGGACTTGTGGTTTGGGACGTTAGTGAGGGTGGTATTTTTTTTTTGTTTAGATTATGCTCGAGGAGGGGAAATCTTCAAAAGACCCCCCTGAAGGGAGGTAGTGTCGGATTCTTACCGACTAAAACCCCTCCTCGAGCGGGGAGATAAACCCTGTGGACTATTCATCCCCGGGACGATAGTGGTAAAGTTGGGGATTGGGGATAGGGTTGAGATGGGAAATGGGTTAAGAATGTGGGCAGAAGGGAGTGTTGGGGAGGAAACCGAAGTAGGTGGTCTATCTCTGAAGTGCTATGGGTGGTATTTAATCCCACAACGAAGATGTACACCATTAACCGTAGTGGTTTTGCCGCGTACCTAGTTATCCGGTATCCCTGGTGCATCACTAATTTTTTTTAATACTAAAAATATTAGTAGTCAGTTTCAAGAAAAATTAATAATAAAGGTTCGTTTGCCTCCCATTATCCGGAATCATTTACCTTTTAATTGTTCCCAACAAATTTCAACGGAGCGCAGCGCTTAACATTCCTAAAATGGTGAAGTTTTCTAAAGCTGCTCCGTGTAAGGATGCTGGATAGTTAGTTACAACGAGTGTAATAAAAAACGAAATTTATTACATGTTAAGTCCGGAAACACCTCAGTCGTAGTAGGCTGCGCTGTCCTAAAAATGGTGGAAATAAATTAAGGAGAAACATCTCCCTGATTAGATGCAGCGACATGAAAAGAGAGGGCCTGACTTACATTTTAAATTCATTAAAAGGACTACCTTAAAATGTAAATGTGTTCTGGATACAAATAAGGAATAAAGGAGTAATAGCATAAGTCTGTCCGAAATTATAACAAACAAAGGTCGCTAATTAAAGTTAACATAACGTAAACATACAAAATTTTAACATACGAATCATAAACTACATCAATTAATATTAATAATTTAGGGTATACTGGGTCTTGTAAATAAAATGAACCACTGGTTAACTCGGCAAGGCGTTATATGCCCCTTCCTTGCTGTAGGGG